TCGAGCGGCTTCAACCAGTTTTCGACGTCTTCATTTTGTGAACCTGTCGGTAGTTTCGGTCAGGAATTAAGACTGCGTGTTTCAGTGTGTTTGTATTAATCATAAGATTGGATAAACATTTGTCTTGTAGGTATAAAGGAATTTTTATATGAACCAAATGAAAGTCTCACTGGCTAAGATTAACAATTTATTTATTTTATATAACAGCCTGTCAAAATCGGTAAATGAATTATTGACGTCACTTTTGAATAACAACATATTTGTAAAGATACAATTTTTAGATACGCTCATTGTCTTCTTTTGTCTGTTTAAATTGTTTGGGGTTGTGATATCTCGTATTTAAGTGGTGGTTAGAGAACCAGCATTTATATTTTTAGACAATTCTTTCCCAGAATTCAAATGAACAACAAATTATGGTATAATGCAACTTCAATGAAGTCTTTACGGGCAAATCAGGAGAGCTGTCTTGATCCTGATGCAGCCTGTGAAGACTTCGTTAAATTTAGTCGCTGTAAAAGCTAGATCATAATTCAACTTATAAGTTATTATTAGCTATCTTACACAAGAAATTATCACTTAATGTCTTAATAATATTCAGCTTACGTATGACAACATGTTTCAGGTTTAAGAACGCATCTTCAGGTCTTCTACGACTCTGCGTACTTTGCCGATAGACACTTAATAACTCTAATTATATCAAAGATGGCCGTGTTCTGTGTTGTAGCGCCACGTAGTCTGGTACGAGTTTGCCAACATTTCAGTAGTACTTCCGTCGTCAGGAAGACCTCTGAAACGTTGGTAAACTTGTGCCAGACTACGTGGCACCAAAACCCAGAACACGGCCATATTTATATTTATTGCGGACATAACCTCAAATCTTATTCTGATTATTTTGAATGGATATTAAAATTCTATTACGCTATACGTTAAAAACCCTCGATTCAATTCTCTTTGTCGAATATAAGAATATATGTCACAATGTAAAGTTTGTAGGCTGCTGTTAAATTTTTATCAGAATTATATCATTACTAGCGTAATT